GGTGGGGGCTTATATTTGCTTTGATCTCTGTCATTAATCGCCTTATATCTTGTAATTTTTTCTTTGTCATAAATTTTTTGTTTGTTTTTCGTGGGTGGCGGGGTGAAAAACGTAACTTTTTGTTCAACTTACGTATGTGTGCTACTCCCGATTCCTCGATATTCTTAGAGTCTTTTTTTATACTCAAGCATTTTTGGCAGTCTTCTGACAATTTTTGTAGCGTTAATCTAGGCTCGTTTTGAAGTTTCGTGAGCATTCTTTTTCGTATTTCACTGTCCTTGGCTGAGACTAATCCCTGTACGAAAATAAGACGCTTAAAATTGTCCGGAGTCAATTCTGCCAATTTAAAGTCATCGCAATGTTTATTGCGGCGAAAGTGGAGTAGTCCTCATTTTCGCTTTTTACGAGGTTGAGACATTTCCACCTTTTGTGAAAAAGTGAAGTTTTTGGACTGAAGAGCTCCGTAAGGCATGTAACTGTCTCGTCAAACGTCAAATTGTTTGTCTTTTTCGGTAGAATATAGTCCACAAATTTTGTGTACTCCTCTGTTCTCAATTTTCTGAGTAATAAACGTAGCTTCTTAGATTCCGTCCAATTTTGGCAATCAATGTTGAAAATGTCTTCATGCCGTGTGTAATAGTCCCTGAAATTTTTATCATCTTCTAGAGAGTATTTAAATGTTTCTATTGTGTTTCAAACTGCGTCTTGAGAAAAAGTCGCCTCTTTTTAGATATTCTTCTGTTGTGCGTTAACCCTTACTTTTAATATTAATTCCTGGAGTTGTATTTGTCTTTCTTCGTTTACTAGCTGTCTTTCCTAACTTCTTCTTATAAACTCAAGCATTGCTTTTTGAAAATCTTCCGTTTTTTAGGTAGTGACGAAATTTTTCTTTTGCTTGTGTACGTTCTTTTATGTTCGTCGTTAATTTGTTGTTCTCTGTGTGAGTTCCTTCGAGTCTTGTCGCCAAGTTGTTGTGGTCGACGTGACACTCGAATTTCCGTCGCCAAGTTATTGTGTTGGCGAGCGAAAAAAATTTTTTTTCAGTACGTGTCTGTACTCTTCGTCGTCAAGTTGTTGTGTTGACGAGAGAGAATTTTTTTTCTTGTGGGTCCGAAATCTTCGTCGCCAAGTTATTGTGGACGCTGGCAACGACATTTTTTTTTTAATTCCCCGTGAAGTGCGAAATCCTCGTTGCCAAGTTGTTGTGGATTCCGTGAATGGAAACGTGCACAAATAAATAAAGAACGCCAGTAATTGAGATAGAAAAATAAGAATATTAAACGTAAGAATACAGACTTGAAGTGAAGATTAGTAGTCCAGGAATGCGGGTTAGTAAAAAGTATATGTACAAGTCTCTGTAAGTAAAGCCGTAATCATCTCTCTCTCTGGACCCTTGTATAACTCTCTGAGAACACACTGTGTCTGTCTCCGTATCTCTCAACCTGTCTCAACGTATCTCCACGTACCTCAACAGCAGGTATTCTCTCTGTCAGTATAAGTATACTTTGGACGAGTCCATCTTATGTAAAAAGGGAGAGCCCCCATATATATATATATATATATATATATATATATATATATATATATATATATATATATATATATATCTTTGTGTGCGTATGTATGTGAGATGCTTGACAGAATAGATTGTGGCATAGAAAACAACTTCAGCATGTTAGTAGTTAAATCAATTATCCCTTGAACACCTAGATATATGTGGCACCATTGATTATCTCAGAGCACTAGAAGTTACTTTGATGGTACCTTTCTTTTCCCCAAGCAACATGCGAGAGGACATAATTGGTTGTATTGTAGCCACAGTACAGAGCAATTCCTAATCTGACTTATCGTGATTCATGTTTTTTGCAATGATATTTTAAAGACAAGATTACAAACTATGCTAAAGGGGATTTGATATTTGTTCGTCGATACCATTTTCTCTACTTTTAATTGTTACTCTTACTTCATACTTTTCACATGATAATTACTAAGCGTATTCTGGAGTCAGCCTTAGACAAGAGGATGAGTCACTATCAATATCTCGAAGACTTTTGACAATGTGTGGCATTAGGGCTACTAAAAAAGCTCTCCAGCTATTATAACATTTCTGAACGTATTCTTAATTATCGCCCTTCCTAACATTTAGATTCGTGAGAGTCGTTGTTAATTGCCAATCTTTGAAGCACATGAGTCCAATACTGCTGTCTCCCAAGGCTCACTTCACGTTCCTATCCTTTTTCTGCTTTACATTAACGATTTTCCTAAGATCATTAGTAAATATCTATGCAGATGACACAACGGTTTATGGATACACCTTCAAAAATATAGATGATTGGAGCCTGGCTGCTGACCTCTCCTCTAACCTTGTTTGCACAGCTCAATGAGAGCGAGATCTTGTAACTTTCAGTACTTCCATAAGCAAACTAGTAATATACGTACCTCCACATTTTTAGCATAAATTTTCGATACCTAAGTTTAAAATGAATTTTTTAAAATGAAAAAACATTCTTGAAGATTTCATTTTAGCTTTAATTGAAAGTTGAATAATTAAATTTATTATTTCCATTAAGTAAACATTTCTGGTGTATTTCAGATAAGAACTACAAACATTGAAATGTCAAATTTAATTTTGATTTCTTAAATTTTCTTAAAAACGGCCATTTTCTTAATTTTAAGAAATTTGTGAACAAACAAAATTTTATCGATTTTAAAAATATTTAAAAAAATTTCTGACACATTATTTTCATAAAATTTGAAAATTTAAAGTTAAATTAATCTGATTTAAAAGAAATATTACTTACTTCTAGCAGAAAAAAGTAATATACAACCAATTATTAACGATTGGTACTGTTCATTTGATCAAAAATTGGATTTGAGTGTTGATTGACGAACGATGATAGCTACTACGGATGACCATAAATGAAAATTATTAGAAATCTGAGTGAACCTTTTTTTTTTTTTAGTTTTACTGTTACGCTTATTTATTAGAATAAAGGGACAAAATACTTAGATCACGTGACCTTGTCATAATAATGACAATTTTGGTCTACCATACATGGAAATAAGGAACGTATTAAGTAAAAAAGTACAAAATAAAAAAATATTTTAAAAATAAAATAGCACAACTACGTTCATTAATCTTCGCAATTTTGGATTCGTAAATTTCGTTTCCACTTAATTACTATATGACATCCAGGAAATAGCCCAATACAGAATTTTACACGATTTTAAACTATTAAAAATTATTATAATTAAAATTTTAAATAAATGGAAAAAAATCTTGTAAAAATTCATTATTCATCAGAAAAAATCCATTTCTTCAGATAATAATATCCTTAATATTAATTATTTACAAAAGCAATTAAAAGCTTTTCTAATTAACTAATGTCATAGTTTTATTGGATTCATTATTTTTCAATTCAGAGTAGATTTTCCGTTAGATAGCTCAAATTTGAAAAAAAAAAGTAGGTTTGCAATCTCCAAACACTCTACTTTTAACCAAAAAAAAAAAAAAAAAAAAAATTCAGGACATAGAAAGGTTTTGTACGTAATTTCATGAAATTAAGTAAGTGGGGAGTAACATATTTAAAAAAAATGTCTGCCAAAATCTTCTAAAAAAAGTATTCAAAAATAATTTCATTCATGTGTAAATAAGTCCTGAAAATTTCATTAAAATCTGACAATAACCTTATTTTTACAAGAATTTCATAATCAATGTGTTTTTAACGGAAAAAAAGCGAAAAAAAACCCCGTTATTTTCATGTCACCGCGATGGCGTAAACAAAAGAAAACTTTAACCATAATTTCGAACGTGTTAGAAAGGATTAAAAAACTTCAAGAAATAATTAAAAAATACTTTGGTCTTTCATCTTAATAATAACATAAACATTTTGACGATAAAACTTTATTTTCGTTAAGTTTGTGGCCCTTTTCATTACGCTATGCTGTTTCCCCGCGAAAAAGTGGAGGTACCTATATGTCTCATGATCACAAAGTAGACTCTAAATATTTTCTATTACTGATGAACGGTTTACTCGGTTTAAACGGAATATCTACTGGGGCCCAAACTCACCCAAGGCCTTCCCTTTGAAGTTTTTATTCGTGATTAACGGGTGTGCGCATATCGTAACTGTTAAAGTCATGTAAAGTGAAATCGACGAGACGAGTTCAATTTCCGGTCCAGATTATTGCGTTCACTATTGCTATAATATCCTTGGGAAATATATTCTAACGCAGCCTTCGACGAAGGACTATTCTGATTTTAAAACCATGGAGAATGTAGCGAAAAAAAGACCAGCATTTTTCTCAATGAAATTCATATATATATATATATATATAAACAAAAAAGGAAACTGAGAAGAATCATTTTTACGTTACAAGGTGCTGACCTGAAAAGCTCAGTCAATAATTCAATACGTTAAAACTTGTCTCTCACTCTGGGATATAATCTCTCATTCTTTAACGATTTTCGCTTGTACAATTTTATAAAATTCTGTTTTTTTTTTCTTTCCATATCATTTTTTAAATTTCTCTCTCAACAGCTTTTTATTTTAAAAACATTTGTCCATATTTCTTCAATCAATTTACTTCCGTTTGCTTTTCCCTTTTATGTCGATAAAAGTTCATTTTCTACGGCTCTCTTGCAACGCAGACCTTCTAACTTGAACAGCCATTTTTTTCGACTACTTCAGCGTGTTTTTCATTTTCTTTTGTCTTTTTCTTGCTGGAATATGTTTTTTTTTTTCCTGTCCGTGAAATAAATTCTCGCCATCTTCAACTTTTAGACCATGCTTTTCATTTGCTATTTTTTCACATTCGCTTTAATTCATTCATTTTTTTTAACGTCATAATTTGGTTCATTTCAAAACTTCATTTTGAAGACATTTCATTATTTTTGCTTTTTTATAGCCCTATCATCATTTCAGTAGTGTGTTGTCTCTTTTTTCACTCTTTCCATCACTCAGTTTTGCCTTCATCTTTCCATATCTCTTAACCATCCAATGTGTACTATATTTCAATTCAAGTCTCTTTCTTTTTCTTTGTCCTTCCTCGCCCCGTTCTTTCCAATTTTATGGTTTTCTTCTCTAGTTCATTTTCAGTCATCTTTGTTCCCTTTCATTGTTCCTCATAGCCGCACTACTGCCACGTTTCTCTTCTTCTTTCTACTACATTTCTACCCATATTTCCTCCTATTTTCGTTCTATCCCCTCTCTTTCAGTCTTTCTGTTCTTCCGCACCCCCTCTACTCCAGTTTTATTTTTCTCTCTTGCTTTTTATGTTAATCTTATTTCAATAAAATATTCTATTGACTCCTTCTAATGATGCTCATAATATGAATTGCCGGATTACTGAATCTTTGTAATAATTATACAGAGAAAAATATAACATATACAGAAGAAAAATCTCTCTCTCTCTCTCTCTCTCTCTCTCTATATATATATATATATATATATATATATATATATATATATATATAACATAAATGGTTAATGGTCAGAGTTGAATCAAACCAGGAAACAGTATATTAAAAGTGCTCAATACACGTGTGAAAAAAATAAAATAAAAAAATCTTTATATAAAATAAAATAAAATATCTTTTATATATATATATATATATATATATATATATATATATATATATATATATATATATATATATATATATATATATCTCAATTTATACACATTAAAATTACATACAGGCAAATATATTATATCATTTCATATTATACGCATTATACACTGGAAATTATACTATATACTTCGTCGAAGTGTTCTCTTAATTTAATGAATTGTCTTATTTCGAAAATTTTGAAAACTTATACATTATCCGCAAGAAAATATTTCATTTACTCTTTCGTCTAAGGGTTCATTGAATTTAATTTGAATTGTGAATTTATGAATATTTCCCAACATGCGCATTATATGGAGGACAATAAATAATATATAATTCCTTCTATGGGTTCTCTTAATTTAAATTGCTGTAAAATTTTTAATTTTGAAACGTTATGCGCAGGAAAATATCCTTTTTACTGTCTGAATTACTGGGATGAGGAGATCATTGTTCATAGGCGGACTATTGTCCCTATCTTCAGCTGTTGGCTCTTCAGGCTTAATAAGGTGATTGTTGATCTGGGTAGCCTTCAAGGAATATCGAACTGAACCCTTTATTTAATCTACGGAGAAGACTGATCCCGGTCCGATGTCATATTCATTTTTTTTTCAGCCACATTCATTAATGTAATATGAATTGTTGGATAATTTTTTGAACATTCGTATTATACACAGAAACATATCTTTCTGGGTCTTTCTTAATTTGAGTAGCAGGATTATAGAATCTTTGAAACGATGCGCATTAAACAGAGAAAATAATCCTTACACTTTCTTAATTTAATTTGCCAGATTATCGAATATTTGAAACTATGCGCATTATAAACTGGAAATATCGTCCATAATCTTTCTTAATTTGAGTTGGCAGATTATCGAATCTCTTAAACCATTATACATAGGAAATATCATACTTACTCTTTCTTGTAAGGCTTCATCTTGTCTTCCATTTTAATTTTCATTTTCTCTCTCTTTTATCCATTTTATCTTTTTTCACTTTCCTTTCTTTCTCCTGCGTCTTTGCTCTTTCTATTTCACTTTTACTCCTCTCTCTCTACTCTTTCTCTCTCTCTCTCTCTCTACTCTTTCTTTCTCTCTCTCTACTCTTTCTCTCTCTCTCTCTCTCTACTCTCTCTCTCTCTCTACTCTTTCTCTCTCTACTCTTTTTCTCTCTCTATCTCTTTCTACTCTTTCACTCTCTCTATCTCTCTCTACTCTTTCTCTCTCTCTACTCTTTCTCTCTCTACTCTTTTTCTCTCTCTATCTCTTTCTACTCTTTCTCTCTCTCCATCTCTCTCTACTCTTTCTCTCTCTCTACTCTTTTTCTCTCTCTATCTCTCTCTACTCTTTCTCTCTCTCTACTCTTTCTCTCTCTCTACTCTTTCTCTCTCTCTACTCTTTTCTCTCTCTCTCTATCTCTCTCTACTCTTTCTCTCTCTCTCTACTCTTTCTCTCTCTCTCTATCTCTCTCTACTCTTTCTCTCTCTCTTTCTATCTCTCTCTACTCTTTCTCCCTCTCTTTCTCTCTATCTCTCTCTACACTTTTCTCTCTATCTCTCTCTACTCTTTCTCTCTCTCTACTCTTTCTCTCTCTCTACTCTTTCTCTCTCTTTCTCTCTCTCTGTATCTCTATCTCTCTCTACTCTTTCTCTCTCTCTTTCTCTCTCTCTTCTCTTTCTCTCTCTCTCTACTCTTTCTCTCTCTCTCTATCTCTCTCTACTCTTTCTCCTCGCTCTCTACTCTTTCTCTCTCTCTCTCTCTCTCTCTCTTTCTCTCTCTTTCTATCTCTCTCTCTTTCCCCTCTCTTTCTCTCTATCTCTCTACTCTTTTCTCTCTCTATCTCTCTCTACTCTTTCTCTCTCTCTACTCTTTCTCTCTCTTTCTATCTCTACTCTTTCTCTCTCTCTGTATCTCTATCTCTCTCTACTCTTTCTCTCTCTCTTTCTCTCTCTCTACTCTTTCTCTCTCTCTCTCTACTCTTTCTCTCTCTCTCTATCTCTCTCTACTCTTTCTCTCTCTCTCTACTCTTTCTCTTTCTCTCTCTCTCTACTCTTTCCACTCTTCTGCGTGTCCATCTTTATGTTCTCATTCTTTCTGTAGTTTTCATTGTTCTCATCACTTTCCGTTTCTCTGTTTTTTCCTCCTCTTCTTTTTTCCATTCTATTCTCTTTTCATTTCTCTGTTCCTCTTCTCTTTACTTTCTTTCCATTTTTCTTTCTTTTCCTCCCGCTATTCATCCTATCTCTACCTGCCTTTCATTCATCTTCTCTTTTTCTATTCCTCTGTCCCTCTTATTTTTTCATTACTTTTCTGTTTTTTTTTGTGTTTTACCTATCTCTGCTCCATTTTCATTCTTCCCCCTTTACCAGGCTATTTCTATCTGTCCATTCTTCCCTCTATTTCTATTAATCTTTCCCTATTCCTTTCCCTATTCCTTTCCCGTTCTGTCTTCCTTCTTTACCATCTTACTCTTTTCCCATTGATACACTCTCTCGCCATTTTTCTATTTTTCCTTTTTCCATTTTCCCGCCGTCTATTTCACTTCTCTTTTTTTAATTTCTATTTATCCCCCTCTCACTTTCCTCTTCCTATTATTTCTTTCCCGTTATCTGTACACCTTCGACTGTGGTGAACGCCATTTTTTTTCACTTCCAATACGAAAATCTTGGTGAAATAATTTCGCTAGGGCTGCAATAAGTAAGAAATTTGTTTTCACACTAGACCACCCATAAACCCGTTGGTCTTCTTTTAAAAGCTGTTTATGATATAAAATAATAAGGTAACAATATCCCCAATTTTATTATTAATAACACATATTTGTATTCGCATTAAAAATTATTAATCACATTATACAATATTAATTAGATCAAACGTAATAAGGAATTAAATAGAAACAAGTTTATTTTTTTTTTAGAATGGAATTTCAAACTGATATTAAAGTAAAGGCTTTTCCATTCATGTTGCCCTGGATGAACAATTTTACACCAATGAAAAGTTTTATACCAAGTTTAGTATTTACCATATTATTTTCAAAGGTGAAGTTAAATCAAAAAAAAAAATATGGATGCCTCATTTTTATGCACTTAGTTTCATTATTTTCTAGTTATTTTTTTTCAAAATAATAATTATATTTTTTTATTATTTATGCTGGACTCTTCCTCATATTTATTTCAAAATACGTAACGCCGGCAAATCCGCATTTATTTAATTACCATCAATTTATGTGATGCAATTTTCCAGTCATATAGATTACGTTTTGCAGCGAAACACTAACACAGTCTCTTCACCTATCAAAATTCGACATATTTGTTTAGAAAAAGTTCTAATGTAGTGTATTTAATTGTATAAATATTTGTTGTGTTATGCAAATTTAAATTAATTTAATAATGTTGTTACAATGTATTATGAATGTTTATTATTTTTCACAAACGTAACAGTTGGAATATAATATGCAAGTGTTTGTTTATATACGCAGATTGATATAAGAATATGTATAAAAAAATACTGAATGTCTTATCAAAAATACCGTAAAAACAGAAACCTATCAGCCCTAACTCAAAATTCTCTTATATAATTTTAATTAAATATGTCACTACGCTTGGCAGAGGTTCCGGGTACAACAAGCACATCAATTGGTTGGTGTATAATGTATTGGTTAAGCTGTACCTCAGGAATAAACATATATAAATAGAAGATTAGAATTTTAGTGTTATATCGATACTACACCTTCCTAAAATGTTAATCCTCAGAAACCAATGAAACAAAAGACTATTATAATCTCGAATCCAGTGTGTACCAAGATTTGTCTTCAAAAATATTTTGGTATATATAATCTTTACGGTAAACACAGCAATGTGCACGTAATAAGTTTGTCTTTATGTGCAGTTTATACCTTATTAAGTGATTTCTATGTGCAGATGTGCGGTGAATTGCTTTTTAGACATGAATAGAACTAATTTTTGAACGAATGCACATGCTCTTATACCATTCTGAATGTATGCCTTTGTCTCTTGTGGACTTTGCCGCAGCTAAAGAAGGTGCAAACACCGAGAAAGGAGGAATTAGCTACCCCAAGTTGAAAATGGGCCAGGGAATTATATTTAGTTAATGTTCCCTTGATTAAACAAACGCATCTAGAATTGTTCGCGTACAACCGGAAGTGAACGACTTGAAGAAAATTAGGGCTGTCCAATGATTGGCCACTACACACTACTCGTGCTCTTACGACACGTCTGTTCTGTCCTCTGTATCAACACACTCAGTAAGTCAATAATTTCAGATGGATTTTCGAAATCTACTCTTATTTTTTTTTTATCCAGAACAGATTCTAAAAGCGGTTAAAAGAAAATTAGATAATAATAATAATACTACTACTACTACTACTACTACTAATAATAATAATAATAACAACAACAACAACTGTAGTAGTATTAAACGAAGGAAGAACGGCTTTTTACATTATTTTTTAAATGAAAATATAATTCATGAACAGTTCCGATGGACACGTTCTTTGTTTACGGTTTAATGTCAAAAAACGTTTTTATTAAAAAATACAACTAATTTTTCGATGTAAGAAAAAAAAAGGCACTCTGAACATTCAGGGCATCGTATATTATTATGACTTTCCATAATGTCCCTTTTCTATATTATCTGGAAATTGCCATGCTTTCTTGGGAAAGTTGGTGGAGTGACTGCCCGTTGCATTCTGCACAGTTTGAAATTCAGAATGTCTCCTCTTTTAGACTGTATGTCAACCAATGGTAGAAAGCTCAGTTTTTGCCGTTATTTAACCATTAGCTGGGAAGAAGGAAAAGAGACGGATTCGAGCTTTCCCAAGAAATATTAGTATGAAAAAGATGGTCGGAGACTAACCCAGAATTTGAACAGGGCTCACAGATTCCACTTTCTGCGTCCATATCTATTAAGCTACCCATATTTGTAACCTGGCAGACAGTTATGCGTTTATCTGGAATTTTTAGATTTATAATATTTTATTGATGGATTGAGTGCAGTGACATGTTAGGAGATTTTGTTGGAAAACAAATATTTGGTTCGTAAAATAAGTCGTTGTTTATTATTAAGATGCGAATATATTGAAATTGCTACATGCAATGTGATGAATATTCGTTTTCGAAAAGTACCCTGTGAAGTGTGTTTCAAGGACTCTTTGAAAAGAACAACTAATCTCTCTAATTCAACTCCCATTATCAGTGGGGAAAAGAGACTATTGGTTGGACGACAAACAGAGACAAGATTCATCAATCTCTCGCGATGAAAAGGAGTTGCAGAAAAAAGAGCATTATATATATATATATATATATATATATATATATATATATAATTATTTATTTAAAAATATGATTCCAAATCGCTACATAAGAGGTCACATGTTTCAAAACAAGAGCCGAAAACTTCAATATAATCCTTTAAATTAAATTGAGTTGAAAGTAAAATGGGCTCCGTTCCATCTTCAAGCGAAATTTACTTGTTTTATATATATATATATATATTGTTTTATATATATATATATATATTGTGTATTTAGGTAATAATCCTTCATTTCTGCATGTTTCATTAAAAATGACAGACAAGTCACTGCGGTTAAAGCTTTTTATTTAATTTATCTTGTGTTCGAAAAAGTGTTTTCTTTTGGGGACACAGAGTGTGTAGAAACTATCCAAATGCCCTGTAATTCCGAACGCATTGGGCTATAATTTTAGCCATTATCAAAGATGATTTTATTTTTTTAGTTTAATTGAGTGTATGCGTTATGTGTATGTTTTTAGTGTGTCATACAGATGTTTTATTTTCCGAACACGGTTAGCACATTGTGACCGTGTTCGTAGTTAATATTGTAAAGTGTTGGCTTTTTTTTTCTTTTTTATTATTAGGCCATCCATTGATTTTTAATCTTTTTTTTTACAGATGGATGAGGTTACTATATTTGTGTTTTCTCCTACTATGTATCGGATGGAGTCTGGTAAGTTTGTGTGTGTGTTTAAATGGGTTCTAATAGAGCCGTGGTCAGATTGGTGTAACGTAAGGCGTCTGGACCGGCGTGACACTCAATTAAACTGACAAAATAAAATCATCCTTGATAATGGCTAAAAGTATAGCCGAAAGCACTCGGAATTATAGAACATTTGTATAGTTTCTACATAATCTGTATCCCAAAAAGAAAGCTTTTGTTCGAACACAAGAAAAATTAAATAATAAGCTTAGAATTAATACCTTGTCTGTCGTTTTTAATGAAACGTTGATATATATATATTTCTGTGTGTGTGTGCGCGCGCATTTGCCTGTGAGCATGTGTGTGCGTTGCATAGAACGCGATAGACATGTTACATCATAAAAATCATTCAAGTACACAAATTAAACAATGTGTGAAATATTCTAACCAATTACGAGAATTGCCGCACACCAATCCAAAGGTGCAATGATTTAATGAAAGATGTTTTCCACAAGTTAAAGAAATATCAAGAAATAGGATCATTCCCTTAGAAGCAAAGAAATGGCTCTTCAAATGCTATGTTATATCAATCTTCCTATATGGCAGTGAATGTTGAGTTTCCTCACAGATAAACAGCAGAGGCAACAGAAATGTCGTTCTACAGAAGGATGCTGAGAATTCAGTTGGCAGTATATGGGAGCAATGAAAACGTTTTAAGGAAAATAGAAATGAGAATGGCACACAGATTCTTAAAAAGGCAGTTTATTGGACGTTTAATGAGAAAATAACACTTAGGGAATTTGACACTCACATACCACTCTCTGATAGCAAGGGGCTCAGAGGAAAAGAGCGAGTAACCATGTTAATGAGTTTATGTAAATCGATGGCAGGACAGTGACTTTGTGGTATAGTAAGGGGATAGATATTGCTTAAAGTTACAAAGTATTGCCAGCTGTGGAGAGCCATACTCACCCACTTCTTGAATGGCAATCGACTTAAAAGAAGATTGATTCTAGCACAAGACTACAAATACGGAACACTCAGTTAAGTCTGAACTCGTTATATTCACTAGTGATGACCAACCAGACCAGGCAACAAAGCCCTCGAAGAGTTGTTTCCTAAATATCACTGGAATGAAACCGTTGAACCGAGATCATTAATTTAAAGTAAAATAGATTGTTCAATGTGTGTGTTACGTATCAAGAACATCAAAATCATGCAGATGCAGAAACTTAACTATTAGGTGTGTTACTTAAATTCATTCGTTTTTTTTCATTCATTTTAATTCTTAATATTTATTAATAGTTCCGATAAATCATTCAACAATATATTCTATTTCATTGTTTAGAACCTCCTACCAACGATAAACTGTTCAGTGCTTCGCCGATAGTCTCTCTAGGTTTAACTCGAAAAAATCATCAAGGCACGCTTTAAGCTCGACATTAGTGTTGAACGAAGCACCCCTCAAATTGTTAGAAGACGCCCGAAAAAGGTGGTAGTCTAAAGGAGCTAAATCAGAAGAATATGAGCGAGGTGGCAGACCTTCGCGACCGAGATCTTTCTTTGTATTAGTGAGTAGCCTGGTGTCGAGCAAGTAAATTCGAAGCAATGGAGAAGCACTGGAATTTATTTTTCTCGGTCCGTGCGTGTGATACAAATGCACAGTGTTTCTGGACCTTTTGAATGAAAAGGAAAACTAACACATAGTCTGCGAGTTCGAACTGACCCTCCTTGAAACAGGAAATCCATTTCTGTGCCATTCTGTCGGTAATGAAGTCATCTCCGTACACAGCGCAAATGTCTCGGGCAGCTTTGGCGGCATTGTGATTTTGATTAAAAGCAGCGAGAACTTGATTAAAAGATGTTGATCATGCTCATTCTTGTTTACTTGGAATTTCATCTGAAAAGGCTGTCTAATCTGAAATAAAATTTAGGTAGCATTTGGCAACAGATTCACATGATGACCAGAGTTGCTAAGAAGCCAAAACATTCTACGAAAGATTATTCTTCGAGATTATTCGTAGAACATCAGAAAAAAAAATAAACAAAAAAAAAAAAAAAAAGGAAGAACATATGTAACAACCTAATATTTGGGCATTTTAATAACAGGCGACAAAAAGTGGAATACAGAAGTCCGAAGGTGTGTAGGATCCTTTTCAGAAAACATGAACATAGTACTAAGGGATTGCAAAAATGCCTTTAGAAAAAAAAGAAAACAGAGATGAACTGTCATGGAATGTAACATTTCTTATATGTCAGTGAAGCTGGATAATTTTCTTAAAACGGAATAGGAAACTTGAAGTGAAAGAGATGATACTACCAAAGAATATGGAAAAAGCATGGGCCGATTCTGTGAGAATTGAAGAACTTATATTGAGAATAGGAACTCAAAGAAGCTGCTACGAACAATCATAAATGGAAAGCTGAACTTCCTTGGGTACATAATGAGGGTAAAAGATTTGAAGAATTTAAAACTAACAGGACACATTGAACGCAATTGAAGCAGAGGAATAGCCTTCTTGACGAGTTTCAGTGAATGGATAGCAGATCATGTACGTCAAAAAGAAAGAAACGTGGTAAAAGGGTAAGGATTTCTTAGAACAAAAATACTGAAAGTTGGGGAGAGCCATGGTTAGTCACTTCCTGAAAGGACATTGCGTAGAGATAGATAGATAGATAGATAGATAGATAGATAGATAGATAGATTGAAGACAAGAGAGATCAGTAGTCAAATAAACAAGATGGCCACACACGGAAATGTGTTGCGAGCATGCGCCTGCATTTCTATTTCGTCTTTGATCAGAGTGGTTTTCTTTTAAAGTTAGAGAAAGGAAATGAGGCAGAAATTTTGGAGAGGGTAGGGAAGAAAGTGTGAGAAGGCCGTCGGCAAGAAAAAGAAAAATTTCAGATGTTTTGAAAATAAACGCGTCTAGCTGAGATGCAGAGTGGAAATTTTTTATTATTTTATGTGCGGATTTATCCTTCAATGTGATGAACAAATTGTTACGGGATATTGAACAATATTCAAGAAGAAATAAAAGGATAAAAAATAACAATGTTGAAATCAGAAAGACAGAATAGGAGAGAATAAGTGAAGGAATAAGTGGAAGAGCGAGAAAGAGAAAAGGAAATGAATGCAATTATAAGAAGAATAAAAAGAAAGAGAATTAAGAGAAGCAAACGGAAAAGAAAGCGTGAGTTATCATTTTGATTTGAAAAGAAAGAAGAAGCAATAAGAAAGAAATTAAATTCAAAGAAGAAAAATGAATAAATACGAGAGAAAAGGAATAAAGAATTTCATAGAAATAAACAAAATGGGGAATAAAAGATAAGAATAAAATATAAAGTAAGGTGAAAGAAAAGTAGAAAAAAAAAAGAAAAAGGGAATAAATTAATGCAATAGAAAGAAGAAGAAGAAGAAGAAGAAGCAGAAGAAGAAGAAGAAGGAATGAATAAATAAATGAAGGGGAAAAGAGGATAAAAAACAGAAGGAAAGAGAAAACGCAAAAAGAAAGGTAGGGGAAATAGGAGAGGCGAGAAAAAGTGTAAGTGATAAATGATAGGAGATTAAAAATAAATAAATAAGATTTAAGCAAAGAGAATGTGTTGGTGGGCGGGAACCAACACACTGAAATATAATGGGAAGAGAAGTGACAAAAAAACAAGAAAAACGAAAAGCTGAAAGAAAAGGAAAGAAAGATGCTATAAAGGAGTAAGAACAGCAAGCAAAAAAGGTAGAAGAGAAGACAATATTGATTAGATGTGATAAAAAAGAAGTGTCGAACGAAGGAATGGTTATTAAAACACACAAACTCTAAAAGAAAGAAATTAAAAATAACCATCGTGAAGGGGGGGAGGATTTCTAAAGAAACAAAGCGATGGAGCATGTTTAATAAAAGAAACAAACAAGAGAAATTAACCTACAAAAGGAAGAAACTCAAAAATACATGAATAAATAATCACACAAACAATATTTTAAGACAACGTATATACTCATTCTTTTCTCCATCTTCTCTAACTCACTTCGCTTTACTTCATTTTTCCCTACAATTTTATTACTTTCCAATACATTTTTCAGGGTCGGGGTAGCCATCCGAAAAGTTATTAAAACCTCAAATAATAGGAAATGCTTGCCTTTCGCTCTTTCAACGTCTCGCCTTGTCCGGCCACACATCATTGGCCAATCATCATTGTCAGCATTTATGAACATTGGTGCTCATCTTCCGCAAATATTGTCGTCTTTCAACTTGCCCTGTCTTCCTATCCTGTCTGTCCCGTCTATAGTCGTTAACGTGCGTTTTAATTCACTCCAATCTCAAATAACTCAATGAAAGTGACAACATTTCAATGAAGCATTGACAATTAGACACTGTACAATAGGTTGCTGATATGCCAGGCGTAGATTGATAGTTGACAATGATTGCAATAAGGAAAATCAGATGTAGATTACAAAAAAAATGCTTATAATTTTTATAATAATAATAATAATAATAATAATAATAATAATAATAATAAAATCCCTAACACTACACCAAGTATAGCTCACATAAATTTGCATCTTAACTGATTGGAGGTGTTAACGATTACATGCTTTGTCTTGGGGAATTAAGATTGCCTACAGTAAATATCCTGCTCAGTACATTGATTTGCTTATCAGTTGTTCGAACTTAACCCGATCGAGATTTCATCTAAGAGCTAGAGCCCTGCGAATGTCTGTTCATGAGCAGGTGTAGTAAGCGATCTTCATAGCTGGATGTCGGGATATTTATTTTTTGAAAGTGGGAAGACTGAGACAGGAAAGGCGACTAGGAATTCACATCCAAATATTTGCAGAGAGAGTCAACAGTAAACTGACTTAGCAGACTAGGTTACGCGACTTGAAGCTAGTGATTCGAACAAAGTATATTTAAGTGAATCTCAAAAACAATATTCAGATATTTGTACAGAGATCTATTCAATCACATGTGTACTATTTTGTTGCAGCACATTTTAACATTTTTGAAGCAACTTCATAATTCCATCCTCCCCAGAAATATTGTGCGATGAAATTGTCTTAGTTATTTTTTACAGGCTCCGGGAGTATTAAATTTCTTCCCATTGAAGTTTTTTGTACAGAACAAAATAAGTGGTTATGCAAAAATGCAAGGTTATGGGATTACGGCAAGTGTAGTAGATTATCCCTGCTAAATTGGACCAATATCTGCCGGGTTTGCAAACAGAACTGAAGTCTAGTGTTGTCTGGATAGAAGACGTTGCACTTCCTATTGACAAATTATTGACGCTTTTCATCGATTACTGCATTTGATCGGTTCACTTGGGAAGGGTACTAGTTTGAAATCACTGTCTGATTTTGCGGAAAGGTCTCGTAACACAGAAAACCCTTTCAATTCTACTAGATACATAGTATAAAGATCTTTCTTACGGGCGAATTATTTTTATATATTGATGATGAAAACGCGAAAGAACTGTCCTCCTCACGCCGTTGATTCCATCGGGGGAACCCTCTACCCTGGGCATTTAGTAAGACTTTCGCCCAGCCGATTTCGCAGCAATGGATGTATACATAGATATAGATTCCAATGAACTCCATTCTTATCGATGGCCATTAACCAGCCAGGAAAAGTTCATCCCATCTTGTTTTAATTTCTTCACCAGGAAAGCCTGGTGGGGGAAAATGGTTAGTCGTCGATGACCTGATTATGCGACGTAGAATACTGGGTTATAAGGTACTAGTGGCACTCGTAGAGTGACATGAAATAAAAATGTATATATTTTGTGAAAGTTTTAGGTTTTGTTTTATTTCATAACATTTTTGCATTGTGAGGCAAATGCGGCAGTATAATTCATTCAAATGAAAACAAACGTTAAAGCAAAAACGAAAAATATTGCCCTTATTGAATTTCTCAAATTAAACAGTAGGAGTAGATAAGTTCATCTATCGCCCGGCTCACACTCCTTTCTCGTCTTTTGAACAGAAGTGGAGGTTTATCCGTTGTTTCCTGTTGAGAACTAGGTTTCAGATTTCTTCAGATTAACTCTTCTAATTCACTTTCAAATCCAGTAACCCCTTGTGTCTTAGTGGGATTATCGCTTTGATTGGGGTAAATGATTAAAAACAAAAGAAGAAAAAGGGTGATGTTTATTTTTAAATAGTTATCCATATTAACAAAAGCAGAATATTTCTGTATTACCAATGAAAATGAGTCCAGTAAAATGATAAAAAAAAAATATATATATATATACATTTTTCACAAATATTTCTCGATACAATTTCCTTTCTCGTTAACTTACCAGACTCCTTCTGATCTGCTTTATATTTACAAGAGTCAGATTAGAGAAAAATATGGAATACTGCTGATATACCTGGAATGGAGCTGCCTCCTCTTCACTTTTCAGCCTTGATAGATGTTAGTGGCGTTTACACTGCCACCTGGCAGCTGACTTATTTGCCATCTTGCAACCTTCCCCCACCACAGACACAACATCGTAAGACTGTCGTTACTCTGTTGCTATTTCCATAGGTGAACATTAGTAAAATAAAATAATGATTATTAATTAGAGCAGAGTTTATATCGCGAACATTTTCGAGCAAAATTGAAATAACTACATGTCAGACGTACCGATTGATTCTCTTATGAATGTAATGGGCGCCTACAGTAGTATTATTTTTATAAAGCTTGTCTCGGTGTCTATTCAGATCGCCTTGAGAGTTACAAGTTCAGTCGGTGTTCCATAATTGTTGCCGTGTACCTTACTAAGCGAAACAGATAAATGTCCAGTACTGAAATGAAAACAAAAATAATCATACTTAACATCAGAAGGAGACAGCTGAAATTTATAGGTTACACAATGAAGAAAGAGGGCTTAGAAAATTTGATGCATACAGAACAGAATGAAGGGAAGATAGACAGAGGTAAATAATGCATAACCTATCTGATGATCTTGTTTAAACTTATGGTGGAACAAGGTTAAGAGAGATAAGAAAAAAGACACACTTTATTAAGAGCTACAAAAGGCGGGAAATTGTAGAGAGTCATTATCGACAACATGATGACGGTACACGGCACAGAAAAAAAAACTTGACGGTAAGAAATATTATCGCCAAGTACTCATGTTAATTCCGAATCCAACCGTTTGAATCGATTATTTGTCTTAGACGGATTTGTCTCCCATGATCAACACATCGCGTGAAATATAGATCAGTTTGAGAAGCGGAGATGCTGTCACAGGCCGACTTGATTTTTACTATTTTATGTCGTTTGTCAGTCGCTTGAAATGTTGGTGACGAAACGGAAGCGAAAATCAAACACTGACTGAACAATGAACTCCCCCCGCAAACCCAAAGGAAACACGCACTTCAAAGTATGGCTAGCAGTAATTAGCTTTACATACACAGCTTTTCAAATCATGGCGGCTATAGAATGATCACCGAACGGAAGCCCGATTCACCAACCAAACCCGTCGATAGTTCAAAGACAAATTTCATTTGTTTGATGTGAGAACGTGGAAATCGCGCTTAATTCTATTGTCAATAGTGTTTTCTTGTCGCTTTTTCGTGAATGGGGTGAAAATAGATGCAGTGTTTTGGGGATAAAATCAATCCCTATATAATTACTCAACGGCCTACTTCCTGAGAACGATACAAGTCGCTTTTGTCGTACTAATTAATTAGTAGCTCGTTACTGTATCAAATCTCTTGTATACATTGTCTTTCGGTGAATAGCTTACAATAAATTTAACGGGCGATTCATCCTTCCCGTTTTGTTCTTGTTATAGATACTTTTCCTTTGAACGCTCGTAGTCTTATTCAGTCAATGCCTTTTGAAGTGCATATCAGGTAAAAAGAAAAACAAATCAAAATAAAAACAGGTAAGATTTAAAATGAAAAATTAACAAAAGATTAAAATAAATCTACTTGTAGCAAACATATGGATTGTTTTGCGCATCTATACAATGAGAGTACGAATGGAAATAATATATAAAAGAAAAGAATGACTGATGATTTTATTCTTGTTGTCTATTCTTGCTTCTTGCCTTGTTAATTTTATTTTATGCATTTCTTTGCCAGTTTTTTTTCTGTTGAAAGCATAGCGCAAACGTGGATTGCTGTGTTGAATTGCCTGTTGCTATTTACCGTTTCTGAATGTCATTTTTCTCGCTAATTCATTCGAGAATTAACAAGCTAATCTATGTTGGGCTTTTTTTCCTCGAGGTTTCGACCGCTCTTTTCTCAGTCACTTTATCAGGTGGAGGACGGGCACGGAATAGTTTATTCCATATTGTACCGCATCGGATGTGCTCTCTTTAACACCACCAATACAGTCGCTTATGAACTACGAATTCTGTACGCATTAACAGTTCTATAAAAGTACATAGATGATAAAAAAAGAAGTAAATAGAAACGCTTTGATGATGGGGTAAGGTAACTGTTGGTAGGCTGATGATGTCACTGAACGGTTTTGTTTAACAGGAAACGAATTACGAAATCCGGGAGTCTTCTATCGAAAGAATAAGTGAAACACTGACGCAGTAGAATATTTTAGATAAAATACATTTTCGTTGCTTCCTTACAAAAAAAAATAACTTAAAAGTGATGGAGAAGTAATCTGATAACATTATTTTTTCTCTCACATGATTGATTATCTGTAGGAAATAAAAACAATTACAAGTTGATGGCGTTGGGATTTAAATGACGCTAGAAGGAAAAAGTAACTAAGAAATGAAGTTTTAAAACTTTACATTTGTAAATAAATGATGAGTTTCAAAGCGTTGCCAACGATTCACGTGATTTTTTTTCTTCATGTACCGTATCCCTTCAGGACGTAGGCGATCCTGATTCTCC